CTTTGAAATCTGGATGGCTTATTATAAGGAAATCACACACAGAGAATAAAAAGTACAGAGATGCATACACATAGAACATGTAATAGTGGTTACTTGAAGCTAGGGAGGGTAGAGAAGTGGGGATGGAAAGAGGTTGGTCAATGGGTCTAAGACTATAGTCGGAAAGAAGGAATAAGTGCTTTCTGTAGCACAGAAGGGTGACTGACTACGGTTAACTCTAATGCATTGCATATTTCAAAATAGCTAGGAGAGGATTTTTAATGTTTCACCACAAAAGAATGATGTTTGAGGTGATAAATGTGCTAATTACCTCCATCCAATCATTACACAATGTATACACCTCTCAAAATTTCACATTGTACCCTACACATTTCTGCAATTATGTGTCTATTTTATAAAAAGAAAAAAGCATATAGAAAGAAATTCAGCTAAACCAGAAGGAAATCTGCAGACACTTGCAGCCCATGGCTTTTCCTGCTGGGCAAAATGGCAGCCTCTAAGGGGAGCAAAAGATGTGAACCAAAATCACCCGTTAGTTAGATCTGACACCCAAGTCATATCACAATGTAGATGTTTGGTGCTGGGGGTGGGGAAAGCAGTGAAGTCCAAGAGATCAAGGTTCAAACCTCAGCTCTACTCCTCATTCTGACTTGGAAATAGTTACTTAGCCTCTCCAAGCCTCAACTTCTCCACTGCCTTCACAGGACCATAGCTCTGGGCACTAAAGGAGATAAGGCAGTAGAAAGATCTGGATTCTCACTGATAGGCTAACCAGCAGTCTTGGTTACCCTATGACTCTCCAGGTTTTAGTGCTGAGACTCCAGGGAAAACAAGAACAGTTGGTCACTCTATTACTCTTCCTTTTGGGTTAGCCCTTAGTCAGCTATATAGGGAGGATCCTAGCTATGGCATGAGCTCCTACCTCCACAACAAAGATCAAGGAAGTCACAGAGTGGCAGGCATCTGGGGTACCCTCTTCTTATGAGACAAGGAAATTGAGGCTCAGAGAGGTTAAGTGATTGGCCCAAGGTCACACAGCAAGTAAGTTTCAGAGCCAGTCTGTCTGCCTCCTGCCATGTCCAGAGGACCTTGGGGAATATAAAATTTGTAGTGAAGCCGTGGATTTGGCCTTTCTTAAAGTCTAAAGCACCCAGAGTTGTACTGTAACCAAATCAAACATTGTTACTCTGAATCAACTTTGGCAGGCCTGTGTTAGGAAACGGCTTTCTTCCATCACTCCCACCTCCAAAGCAAAGAGAATAGATGTTCCAGGTTTGGGGACTGAAAGAGCCCCAAACAGAAATCCCCAGCTGTGTGCATAATGGGAGTCCAGTTCTCACTTAGGGAGTGATCATCCCCCAACTTGATCCAGCCTCCCTCAAGAGCAGCATGAGAAGTTAAAGCAGAAGAGTACCCAGCTGAAAACAGGTAGTGATGCACATCATGCTGCTTGCCTACTCTTCGATTGGATGGGGGTTGGATTTCAGTTTGGCTTGTCAACTGGGGATCCTATTGCCAAGAGAGGATAAAGGATTCCCCAAAGCCACGTGCATCAAAACATCCACTAAGTCACAGGAAAACACACACAGCAGATAGTAGAAGCTTTGGGGACCTGGGAGGAACATGGAAATGTCACAGAAGCAGTCGTGCTTGCCTTTTCCCAATTAAGCTACAGGTAGAGTATTTTATATATATATATATATATAATTATGTATATAGTTATAATTATATATAGGAAGTTGAGTTGAGAACTTTTTGAGATATCTTATAGAATGTATTTTATAAGTATGAAATAAAGGAAATGCTGACTCTCACTCTATGTAATTAATTTATGCACCCTGAATTGTAGAGCATCAGGGTGAGAGGCTGCCTGTGCCAAGGTGTAGGAGTTTCTAGGAGTAATGGAATTGGGGACTGGCTTATCAAAAAGAATCCAAAATGAAACCAAATGGGGGTTTTCCAAAGCTCTGGGCTTCTCTCCAGGGTCTGCCATAGTTTGGGCAGATATTCCGTGTGAATATTTTACATAGGACTTGAAATACGTGTGCTTTACAATCACACATTCTTGGATTTGAATGAAGTTAAATGACCTTTGCAGTGATTGAACTCAAGACAATAGACTCCCTAGAACCATAACTCATTGTCACTACAATACAGCCATCCTTGGGAGTAACAGTGCATAGAGACCACAGTGTTGTTTGGGTTTTAGTGTTGGATAGATCTGGCAGGAAGGACTAGGAGACCTGCCTGCATGTGTTCTGATTTAAGAAGCATCAGGAGAAACACGGTATTTCAGTACGTACTAGGATTCTACAACCTTTCATAACTTCACACTATCTGCAGCATCACAGACATTCCCACAGGAATGTGAAAGATTGCCCCAAGACGATTGCAGGTGTGTACCATTTTATGAAACAGCCATGAGCCTGTAAAAATGGCCACATAACAAGATACCCTAGATGGAGTCTCATTCTCCATTGCCTTTCAGAATGACATCAAAGGTACCTTCTTTGAGAAATATTTTAGCTCCAAGATAATGCAATATTTTTGGAAGTACAGAAAAAACATGGAGAGTCTTATTTGAGAGAGAAATTTTCAAGTTCCTTGATAATGTCGTGGCGGGGGTCAAGCCCCTTAAACTAAGTTCAGAATGTCTTTCATAGAATGGGGCCATCAAAGAAGGAGGTACCTTTCTCTGAAGGGAGGAGAGAACTTCCACTTTGACTATGACCCTCTCGGAATAAGATCGAAGTCGGCGAACACAAAAGGCTTCCATAGCCTTGGCAACTCATGACTAGAGCCTAGGGAGATTACTGACACCATAAACAAGAGTGTCAAATTGTTACGTGAACAACAGGAGTCACTATGTACTTTTCATGTGGGATCTGTCCTTAATGTGTTGTCCAATGTGAAGTAATGCTATAACTAGTACTGAAACAGTATTTTTACACTTTGTGTTTCTGTGTGGGTGCAAACTGATGAAATCTTTACTTAATATATACTGAATCGATCTTCTGTATATAAAGATAATAGAAAATGAATCTTGATGTGAATGGAATGGGAGAGGGAGCAGGAGATGGGAGGGGTGCGAGTGGGAGGGAAATTATGGGGAGGGGGAGCCAATGTAATCCATAAACTGTACTTTGGAAATTTATATTTACTAAATAAAAGTAAAGAAAAAAAAGAATGTCTTTCATGTGAAATAATTGAGTTAGAAGATGGCTTCACTACCTATTTCAGAGGACCACAGGAATGATTCAATAATAAATGTAAAAGCACTGTATTGCAAAGTGTTGTATGCTTTTGAAGTCTATTTTCTCTTCTAGTCAATCTTGGACAGTCACTTAAAAAAAAAAACACAGAGAACTCCCCTCTTGTCCATCATAGATTGTTAGATCTTTAGAAAAATAAGGATTACCATTTGCCTCTTGGAGAGAAGCTCATTAACAGTTCGAGAATTGAGCTGAGCATTCAGAACTGTTCATAGAACACCCTTTTATTCCTAGCTATCTGTGGTCTTGCCTTTCAGACAAAGGTCTAGCTGGGGTGGGGTATGCATTCACATACAAACTAATTAAGCAGGCACTCCTAGTTTCCTTGTCACAGCGAGAGGAAGCACCGAGTCCACCAGCATTTTGTAATTATGGCTCCTTGAACAAAGTAGCAGAAAATGCTCAAACCTCAGATTTGCCTTTTGAGCATTAGAGGTGACACTCAGTCTGGTTGTGCTGATGGGACCATGGGATGTTATCTACAAAAGACCAGAAACTGGAAATCACTGTGCAAGCTCTCTTGGTGATAGACAACGGCTCTGCCTCCAATGTCTCTTTTACAGAATGTGTTTGCTTGTTTCTTCCAATGTTCTTCTTAGTCCTTGTTCCATCTAGAAGCCCCAAGCAAGTAAATGTTATTTTGCATGCACATATTTTATTGACAGGATGTAACCCATTGATTAATTTCTTAAGCTTCTGTTTCTTCATGCTGACTTTAGGGGGCTGTTTATTGGGTTTTTAAAGAAACAATAATTTATTTAGTAGGAATTGGGTTAGTAGGTACGTTGTTATGAAGGGGAATAGGGTTGAGAACAAAAAAGACTACAGTCCCTTCACCTTCTGTGAGACCCAGATTTGGTTATTTGTCCAAGTTCATAGTTGATGACAAGTAGCCTGTGTTTACAATGTAAGAAATCTTATTATAGATTCTAACCTTTCTCCCTGCTATACAGAAATCACATCAACATTTTGTCCATTCTCAATGTGGTGATATATCTCACATGTCCAGACTCCTAACACACAAACTCTGAAGTCACACACTACCATCTCCTCTGACATGGCAGTAGCTATAATTCAGAAGTTACAAACTGGTTGCCTGTAAGTCAGCCTTGGTCTGCATGCATATTTTTAGGCACTAGTAAGTTTTTAATTTTTAATTAGTTGTTAACTAATTATAATTTCAAAATTATAAAAGTTTATATACACATAAAGACACCTAGATTTTCAGCCTGTCTTGAAAAATGGAACAAGCTGCACACTAGTCAGAATTCATACATGGCTGCCTAGAACTAAGTACCAGCTAGGCTTGGGCTCTCCATTTCTCTACACTCTCTACTAGGTCTTATGATTTTATAGTTAACAATTATCCTTCTATGAGCATTGAATAGACAGCCCTGTACTTAAAACTTGTGCATGAAAAGTGACCAGTTTAATATTATGAGACAGAGAGAAGATTATTGGGATTTGGCTTGTATACGCAATGGCAGGGTATATGGATCAATGGGCATTGTCTTGGTAGAACTTGAAACAGGCATCATTCTGATTATGTTATCTGAGAGCCTGGTCTTCAGGCCTTCATCTCTGTTATCTATGTCTGGTCTTCAGGTCGCTCTCAGGTATGTAACTGAGATTCAGTCTTTTAGATATATAATCTTCCCATCTGACGGAACAAGTGATATGATTTTGCAAGTTGACATAATTAATCAATACTATACTTTTGTCTTTTAGAAAATACTGAAGGAAGGACCTTTGCTGAAGAATTGTAACTCCCTCAAGAGATGGAAACTTAGATATTTTCTGATTCAAGGACAAAAGCTCTACTTTGCACACCATCCAGCGGTAATGTATCAACTCAGTCTTGTCAATTGTGTCAGCTGGTGAGTGTCAGGAAATGTCTGCATGGGGAGATGGGTCAATAGGTAAAGACATGTTGGCAAACATCGAGTATAAATTGAAATCTTCAACTCTTGCTTCATTGTGTCCTTTTGGCCCAAATGAGAGACCCGTTTCTCTCTTTTCACTTCCTGTTTTCCTCCTCTCTCACAGATTACCCAGTTAGCATCTGCTCTCAGAACTAACTACATAATTTACTTTTATTCTGTGTTTGAAGCACCTTCTGGTTCCAACAGAAAACATAGCTTTTGGGGGCTGCCAGTTTCCCCACTTATTCAACCATGTATGTAACACACTTACCTTGTACTTCTTATGAGTCTTGCTGAACACCCATGTATCATAGGTCCACTGGAATCTATACTCAGGGGCATCATGCAACAAGACACAGGGTGAACATGTGTATTGCATGTATTTCCTCTGCTCGTATGCATGATTCATTATCCCATTATATTTCACTTATAAAACACAAGCTCAAAGATAAAATTATTAACAATTTCAAGATGGCAACAGCAGGTTATTAGACCAAAGTCGGGGCCCTTATGAACATGGAGCCCTGTTTTAACTGCACAAGTTGCATCCTGATGAAAGTATTCCTGTCAGTATCTGTAGTACCGATTTCCTGCTGCTGGGTGAGTAGTGTCTACGACAGCCAATGTGTAAGGAGATGCATGCCTTAAACTACATGCAACTAGCAACATGGTCAAAACTGACCACCCAACAGGGGTAACTATTTGCTCCACTAGGGCCCTAGCCCACATCCTCTTATCATCTCCTGCATAAATCTTTATATTTTAATCCTTCTGAACTGACCAACCCAAACCTTCCTTTAAATCTACATAATAGTTTTGGAAGAAGTTGTGTTTTGGTTTAGTTTTTTTGATTTGTCACATGGCATATCAACAAAAATCATGAATGCCTGTCGAGGTATTTGTGTATGTGTCTCTGTATTTGTCTTTTAAAGTCTTTTTGCCTCATTAACTAGATGGTTCCATGTCCGCCTCCCTCTTATATCTTTCCAGTTTGCGCACTTTGAAACAATTGATCTGTCTCAAGTAACCTTAGCCGAAAGCAGTTGTAGAAACCTTTGCCACAGCTTTTGTGTAAGTAATATTTGGAATGACTGACTGGGCAAGGGTGGAGGCTAGCTGGGAAGAAGGGTTGCCATGTGCACTTGTTGACTCTTTGGTGTTCAGGTTTTCCAAGTCTTCTTTGATCTTAAAATATGACTATTTGTGAAAACATTTTCTACTAGCCTATTATTGTGGGAGAAAGTGATACAGCCTGGTACAAAGCTAAGCTGATTCCAGGGGCAAGGGTATGTGACTATTAGAAAACCAGTCCTGCTGGTGAAAGTTATTCAGAAGAATATACCTGGGGGGCTTTCTAGAGACTGCCAATATGTTATAGAAAATATCAGGATAATTTGATGAAATAGATAAGTATCTAAATTCAAGTGAAATCTAACCCCATGCTGTGATTACTAGTGAGAGTACCTCAAAAAAGCAGAAGATTATCTAGAGTAGTATTCAGATCCTTGTTGTAGCTGAAATGTCATATGAATTTGGTCATTCCAGTGCATCAAGACTAGAAAATTATCAGGAATTCTCTGACCTACCTCCACCCAGATTTGTCTCAGTCTCAGTGGTGGAGATTTGGGTTTCTCTTCAGAGAAGTAGAGGATTGTATTTAGCAGACTAAAGAGCTACAGGCCAAATACCTTACTTTTGTGGCTGGTTCATGTCTCATTCTCCTTTGAAAGTAGAGCAGCTGGATCTAAGGAGGAGATCTAGCTTTCTTTCATTTCTTTTTCATTAAATTATACTGACCCAGGGCAAAACAGAGCATTCTGTTGACAGATCCCTAAAAATTGAACCTTTGAGTGATGAACCTATAGGCTAATATTTCTGGTCTCTATTCTACAAAAAAATCCAAATGGCTAGATGTCGCTCCCCGTCTTCGTGGAGGAACAACACAGGACCCTGCGCTGTTCTTTTGTCTGCTCGGCCCTCCCCGGGTTTGCTGCTGGTTCTTCCCGGGTTGGCTACCGTCCCTTCCACCTCCGTGGAAGGGCGGTTCCCCCTGGCCACTTTCCCCACTTCCGCGGGGGAGCGGCACACCGCCGGCCGGCTCTCTCAGGGGCTGCACAGGTGTTCCTTCAGATAGATGTTCCTGGTGCATGTTGTCTCTCTCCTCCTTTATAGTCCTTTTCCACCAATCCCAACTCTGCTACCCACACGCCGAGTACGCTGCTCTCCTCCAATCAGGAGCAGGTCCTACAGTTTATTGGTTGAACTGGAGGCAGCTGTGTAGAAGCTGTTTCCTCCTCTCCCAGTGCCATATTGTGGGAGAGCAGATGCATAGAATAAGTCTTAATTCCAGTAACTTAGTCTAGTCCGAGTTGCTCCCAGTTGCTCCCCACAGCTAGACTATCTCCTTACCTAATTAAATTGCAGAGACACTGCACCCAACATTGGGTTTAGACCAAAGAGGTGGCTGGTGTTGTGGCATAGCAGGTAAAACCTCTGCCTGTGATGCTGGCATCCCAATAGGTGCCAGCTCATTTCCTGCCTGCTCCACTTTCGATCCACTCCCTGCTAATGGCCTGGGAAAAGCAGCGGAGGATGGCCCAGGTACTTGGGCCCCTGCCACCCACGAGGGAGACCCAGATGAAGCTGCTGGTTCCTGATTTTGTCTTGGCCCAGCCGTGTCTTTTGTAACCATTTGGAGAGTGAACCAGCAAATGGAAGATATTCTCTCTCTCTCTAACTTTGACTTTCAAATAAATAAATAAATCTTAAAAAGACGTGGCAGTTACCATAATTTCAACATTATCTTACTCTCATCTACCACAGACTCATGCTGTGTGCTACAGGCAAAAGGAGAAACCAATTATTTATTGGTGTGGTTAGCTCTAGTTCCAAGAGTTTGAGGGCTGGTAATAGAAGCAAATCAGGCCATTACAACAATGTCTGATGCTATAGCATTCTATGCTCTCTTCTGCCCTCTAGGAAATGACCAAGTCCTACCGAGGATTGATGTCTGCTAGCCTCTCAGCATGGTTTTCTTGTTCATTCCTGGGTCCTTGCCCTAAGCAGGACCAAGAGAGACAGCTGTCCCTTCTTCAGGCTGTCCTTTCCCATAATAAAGAAAGAAACTTGATTGTTAAACATATCACTCTCCCTCCAAACAGAAAGAGTCACACCTTAGTGAAGCATATACACTTTTACCACTTCAATTAGACAGAGTCACAGTAAGCAAGAAGGATTTTCTGGCAACCTCACTTGAGTAATAGATGGTGCATGGCTTTGTATTTAAGAGCCTGAGTTCTGGAACCAATGCATATGAATTTCAATTCAGGCTTAGCTTTTTTCCTGCTGGGTGATGCTGAGCAAGTCATTTAATTCTCTCTGCCTTGGTTTTCCTGACTATGAAATGGGAAAAATAACAATGCCCATCTCATGGGGTTGAAATGAAGATTGAAAGAAGTAGCATTTATAAAGTGTTTTAGACTAATTCCTGGAGCATAAACAGCATCATTAAAGTGTCCGTTATTGTCGCTCCCCCTCTTCGTGGAGGAACGACACTAAGCCCTGCCTAGGCTTCATATCCGAGTCACGGCACCATTATGTCGCTCCCCGTCTTCGTGGAGGAACGACACAGGACCCTGCGCTGTTCTTTCGTCTGCTCGGCCCTTCCCGGGTTTGCTGCTGGTTCTTCCCGGGTTGGCTACTGTCCCTTCCACCTCCGTGGAAGGGCAGTTCCCCCTGCCACATTCCCCACTTCCGCAGGGGAGCGGCACACCGCTGGCCGGCTCTCTCGGGGGCTGCACAGGTGTTCCCCTTAGATGTTCCCTTTAGATGTTCCTGGTGCATGGTCTCTCTCTCCTCCTTTATAGTCCTCCTCCGCCAATCCCAACTCGGCTGCCCACACGCCGAGTACGCTGCTCTCCTCCAATCAGGAGCAAATCCTACAGTTTATTGGCTGAACTGGAGGCAGCTGTGCAGAAGCTGTTTTCTTCTCTCCCAGCGCCACATTGTGGGAGAGCAGATGCATAGAATAAGTCTTAATTCCAGTAACAGTATAGTCCGAGTTGCTCCCCACACGTTATTGCTATTATCATTGCTATTATTTTGGGTGGGTAAAGACTGAAAGTGACCCTGGGAGCTAGTACCTTATTTTCAAGAAGAGGCTTTGTTTGTGGTTAGTAGATCTATCTGTCTGCTTCCTAAGAGAGTTCACAGACTCTGGGGGGAAAAGTATGGAGTGGGAATCAGCTAATAATGTGGCTTTTTGTCTAGGTTATCACACCACAACGAAAAGTCACCCTGGCAGCACCAAACCGAAAAGACATGGAAGAATGGATCAATGTCATTAAGACTGTCCAACAAGGAGAAATTCGTAAGGTAAGGGAAATAGTAGAGAATCACACAGCTTTTCATGTGTTAAAAAAAAAAAGTCACCTTCCAAACAAGGAAATGATAGAATGGAAGCAGAAACCATCTGGCACAGAAATGTAGATAGAGGTCATTAAGAAACCTATTTAGAACTATTTCATTAATAAGTATAATTCACTTAGACTTTGCTAAGTATGTCATTTAGATACCTCTGTATATATGTACTTACTGTGTAGATGCCACTCTACACCCAGTGGAGGAGGCATTCAAGGGGTATGTGGGAAACTAATGTAGATGTCCTTATGTTAGGAAAGTTGCAATTAGCAGTCTTAAGTCTGTGAATGACTATAGTAACAAATAAGGAAACTGAGACTGAGGAAGAAGAAGTAACCAGAACAAGGAAAAATAACCACTCAGTAGGAAAGCCAGGATTTGGACCTAAGCTTTGTGACTTCAAACCTTATGTCCTTAACTTCTATGCCATCCTGCCTATTTTCTGTCCACTACAAAAAAAATGTAGGGGGAAGAGCAAGGAGCAGCCCCCCCACCCCACTTCAAAGCTTAGCAGGATTCCTATTCTCCCTGGAAGTACCAAATCTCTGGCCATGTTTTCAGTCCACTCACTTGTATATTTACCAGTTAGAAGTTATTTAAGTTCCAGGAGGGATAGGAGTTATGTCATTTACTCACCTAGAACAGTGTCTAACACATAGTAGAGACTCAATAAATATTTGTTGAATTAGTAATAGTTGTTGAATTAGTAATAGTTGTTGAATCCCAGGGCAATGCTAAAGAGTTTTGAGCAAAGTTCTGCTGTGAAGGTCTTAGAGATAAAGAGGACTAAGAATCCAACCTTTAAAAGAACCTGATGTCTGAAATAGAAGCAAAGAGTTTGTTCAAAGGATTGTTCCAAGCATTTGGGATGTAGCAGTGTGCAATGTGCACTGTGGCTTGGCAACGGTGGGGTTGAAGAATAAAGATAATGTCATTGAGGAGAGCCATTTATCCTCACTCTCCTATAACTTCTCAGGCTTTTGACACTTAGTCTCATAACTATACATTCTACTACCTATGATTATGGTGGGGAAATGACAATGTGGCTGGCCTGGGGCCTCTCCATGTAAAATTAAGGCCTCTTTCAGACCCACAATGTATATACTTAGTTGAAGGATCCTTTGCTTAGTATCTGATGAAGGTCTTTATATGAGTTAGCAATAGTATTCCATTCTTTGTTATTTCCTTTTTCATTTTCTAATGGAGAAACACATTCCTTCCCCTACAATGAGGTCACTACGGCACAGCAGTAGAGGTAGACACAAAGTTGTGAATTCCTTGCTCTTTCCCCATCCTCACCCCTATGAACCAATCCATTACTTCTATTCAAACCTAAGTGCTTCTCATGAATCATAACATTTTCATTTTGGCATAAAGTGTCACATATGATAATATGAATTTTAATAATTGCCCAGGAAAACAAAAACTACTAGTGAATGTCATCAGAGAGTTGATGCACCATTCTTGAATCCATTGAATTAAACAGCTAGGTATTGGCTACCCAGCACAAAGTAGAAAGGCAAAAAAAAATGTGCCTCTTTACTCTCTTGGAAGAATTGAGTATCAGGTTGTAATCACAATCTCTGTGGAGCTGCTCCAGTTGCCTAAATCTATTAAGAAACACTTTTTGCTGATAGTGAAATGTCTCTGCCAGCATCTTAGCAATTTGTCATGCTTGAGGCTTCAACAGTCAAATATGCTTTCTCTTACATGTGCCTTACCTCTAACAGTCCTTTCTATCCTCTGTCACCACCAATCCTTGATAAATGGGGTGAGGAAAGATTAATCACGGACTTGATGGTCTATTAAAGTAGTGACAAAGTAATTGGATAACCCATTAAAAATCAGTCAGTACATATTAATGAACCCTACTAGGTGCCTAGTTCTGTTTCATAGAGGTTTAAAAAGAAAGTGAATCCCTGGCTCCTGGCTTCAGTGAGCATTCTAGGTGGTTGAGGAAACAAGATATAGACAAAAGAAACAGTTAAATGACAATATTCAAGATAAATAGTATTCCGAGATATTACAAGGCAATTCTTGATTGATTGCCAAATGAATGAAACCAACAGTGAAGTGGTATGAGAATTCAGGCGAAGAATAGAGATAAGTATAGGCTGGAGTCCCCTGGGGAAGAGTGAACACAGGTGACATTTGAGTTTCACCTTGAAAGATGGTTAAAATTGTATTGGTGGTAATGGGTGGGGACAAGGGGAAGTCCTGAGTAGGAGAACTGTTATAAGCAAAAGCCGAGTAACAAGAAAACAGAACCTTTTTTTGCAATATAGTGTGAAAGGAGGAATCTTTCACTCGAAGAGTTTGGGAAAGTGAGTCCAACAAGTATGTCTGGAGAGGTAGATTGGACCTGATTGTGGAGGGTTCACAATGCCAAGGTAAAGAATGAGGAAGGCCTGCAATACTATCAAAGTTCAGTTTAAGGAGGATGGGAAAGAGAAACTTTGGAAATAAATATAAGATGCATTAGACAAAGGGGAGACCAGAGGCCAGCAGTCCAGAGAGGAGACTATAGATTAAGTCAAGCAAACATAGTTAAGCCCCTAGAATGAGGATAGGAAGGGAGGACAGATAGTAAGACACTGAGTTGGGGCCAAGTGAGAAATATAAGGAACACAAGGAAGAGAGAGGAGTCACAGTCAGGTGAAAGATTTGGGCTTGGAGGATTTTTTAAAATAATAATAATAATAAAGAGGCAATTGGCAGTACGTTGCTACTTGGAAGACTACATTAAAAGGGTAGCTCTTTCTAATGGATTGTCATGGACCCACTGACTATGAGAATAGAAAGGGACTTTAAAAGTCATCTAGATTTCAGATTCTAGATTCTAGGACATTTGGAGATCATAAATCAGGTAGCCTTTATTTAAGCTTATCCAAAGAGAGGGAACCAAGTTTCTTGTAAAGAAAAAAGGTTAATTCAATGTTTCTAAAACTCTAAGTCCCAGGAAGTTTTTCTTAGACTTTGATCCAGCAGAAGAAAGAACTTACTAACATGCAATGCAGGAGTAGCATCAGCTGCCTCTTGAGATAAAAAGCTTCCTGTCATTGGAAATATTATAAGAAAAATATTTGAAAGTGCACTTGTCAGGATGTTGTACAGAAATTTAATTTTTCAGGTGGGCAAACTAGATGAACTCCAGCACCTAGTTTCAACTTGAAAGTATTTAATGTGAAAAGTTTATGATTTTAACATTCCATTAAGCAGATAAGAGAGATCTGGTTGAATTTTCTGAAATCAGTTCAATTTGGCAGAATTGAGATCCTAGCTTTTCTTAATTGATGCTCTTAGAAGGACACCTTAAATCCTGCCTAATTTATTCTCTTACTCCCCTAAGCCCCATCCTTTGCAATTAGGAGTAAGAATACTAAGCTAAGGGCTGGAACTGTGGCTTAAAAGGTTAAGCCACCGCCCGCAGTGCTGGCATCCCATATAGGCGCCAGTTTCAGTCCAGCTGCTCCACTTCCAATTCAGCTCCCTGCTAGTGGGCTTTGGAAAGCAGTAAAAGATGGTGTAAGTGCTTGGGCCCCTGAGACCCATGTGGGAAACCCGGAAGAAGCTCCTGGATCCTGGCTTTTGCCTTCCCCAGCCCCAGTCATTGAGGCCATTTGGGGAGTGAACCAGCAGATGGAAGATCTCTCTCTCCTCCTCTCTCTCTGTATCTCTGCCTTTCAAATAAATACATAAACCTTTAAAAAGCATACTAAGCTAGACAAGCAAATTATAGAAATTAAAAAATAGAATTAAAGCTACTAAATGACTCTCTAGCTCATGCATAATGTCTCTATGGCTAGTGGTTTGCCCAGGATTAATCCAGCTTAAATTTGACCCAGCACAATTATTTATTAATAGCTTGCCATTTCACTGTTAAAAGTGTCCTGATTTAGACAATATGTTTACCCTAACAATGGCCAACCTGACAGATCTTAACTTTCTTCTATAGTTATTGAAATTTTAATAAAAGTGAGCAGTTGAGTTCATGTTACAGCACAAACTATTGATTTAACTTTTCATCATATAAGCCATCCCAACAATCTTCCTTAATATCTTATTATCTCTTATTCCTTATTATCTCTTTAGAAGATCATTATGTTCTTAGAATTGTATCTACAAAGCACATTGAATCTGTTAAAAACTAATTAAAAAGCTTAAAAAGATTAAAAGTAAGACTTTTCTACTTTATGGGATGTTTCAGCTGAGATCTTTGTGCACTTTGCAGACATTTAATGTTATTAATTTCTTACATTTTGATAATGCCTTAGATGTTTCCAAAACTCCTAGACTAACAAGATCTCATTTAACATACAGACAAATCATGAATGTATAAATCTGAGTTCTGGGTGTGATGAAAGAGATTCAGGAGATGGGGAAATTAGCCTTAGCTGTCCTAGAACAGCAAAGTCTTAGTTGGGATTGCTATAATAAAAAAATACCATAGACTGAGTGGCTTAAAAAGCATTTATTGTTCACAGTTCTGGGGGCTAGAGAGTTAAAGGTCATGGTAATGACAGAGGTGTCTAGTGCAGACCTGCTTCACAGATGGTCATCTCCTCATTATGTCTTCATATGGCAGAAAAGGGAGCAAGAGAGGGCTCTCTGGGTTCCCTTTCATTTAAAGGGCACTAATCCCTCATGAAGACTCTGCCACCTCCTATGTCTCTCATATTGAGGGTTGGACTACCAACATGTGAATCTGAGGGGGACACAGCCAGCCCACTGTAATTCACCTCTGTCCTAAAATTTGGGTCTTCACATGCACAGTGTATTCATTCCATCCAAACAACTGCGGAAGTCTTAGCTCATTCCAGCAATAACTCTAGAGCCCAAAGGATACCATGCACATCGGATATGACTGAGATATCCTGAAGCAAAATTCCTTTCCAGCTATGAATCTGTGAAGTCAAACAAGTTGTGCACTTCCAAAACACAATGGTGGGATGGAC